AGATCACTCTGTTCCTGTGGTTTACTCATGTCCCTGTGATACACTCTCTGTCCCAGTGACTCTGTGTCCCCAGGGCTCACTGTGTTCCTGTGATTCACTGTGTCGCCGTGGCTCATTGTGCCCTTGTGATTGACTATTTGTCCCTGTGACTCAGTCCATGTCTTTTGGCTTACTTTGTGTCCCCATGGCTCACGTTGTCCTCCTGGCTCACTCCGTGTCCTCCTAGCTCACTCTTATCCGTCTAGCTCATTTGTGTCCCCCCCGATTCACTCTGTGTCCTTGTGTGTTATTCTGTGTCCCCTATGTCCTGTGGATCATTTTGTGTCCCTGTGACTCAAAATGTAGGCGTTATACCCATCAACTGCTCTGGCCGCCGTGTAGTCCCATCAACAACCAAGACCAGAGAGTATAAAACCCAGCTCCCGGAAGAGAATAGCGCAGAGTCTCCTGCCTCAGCACCTGGCTGTCCTCACCAGGGGCCCTTGGAGGAGGGTGGGTTGAGTTCCCCTCCCCACCCTGAGCAGAGCCGCGGCAGCTGAAGACCTCCGGTTCCAGCCACAGCCATGCTTAAGACCACTCTCCACACGTTCGGATGAGCCTCAAGCATGAAGGAACCGGCAGAGGAACCCAGGTGTGTGGGACCTGGGGTGTAGATATCCAAGCCTGCTCGGATTGGGACTGGGTCTCCTCCACCCAGAGCCCCCATCTTCCAGGATGTAGGCGTTACACCCACCAACTGCCCCCAGCGTTGTGTAATCCCATCAACGGCCAAAACCCAGAGACTATAAAACCCAGCTCCCAGAAGTGCATGGCCTCATTTGCGGCCGCGCGACATCTTATTATCCAGTTCTTACTCTGGAGAACCTGGCAGGCTACCGAAAGTATCCTGCCCACACGGCAGAGTCTGGCAAACTCCCTGTGGTGTATTCAATATGTCAAAAACCAGTAACAATGATGGGTCTCATTCCCCTGACCCTGAAAGAGCCTCAAATGTCGTACTTTCTAAAATCTAAGGGCTAGGATGAAGGAGATATTGCTGGTGCCTGCTTGAGGCAATCGATGAACAACAGGATGACAGTGATACAGTGACTCACTTTGTCCCTGTTCTGATTTTACACTGTCCACAAGAACCCAGAGCTGCTTGGTACATCCTTCAGTATGGGGTCAGTCAGAAGTAGGTGGGGGCTGGAGCGATAGCACAGCGGGTAGGGTGTTTGCCTTGCATGTGGCCAACCCAGGTTCGATTCCCAGCATCCTATATGGTCCCCTGAGCATCGCCAGGAGTAATTCCTGAGTGCATGAGCCAGGAGTAACCCCTGTGCAATGCCAGGTGTGACCCAAAAAAGAAAAAAAAAGTGGGTGGTCCCAGAGCATGGGGGCAGGCGTGGATAGAGAGCACCATCTTCCTGCTGACACGGGTCAGGGCTGTGGTAGTTGGGTCTCACCTGCTGGCCTCCGAGACACAGCCCCAAGCTGACACAGGCATCTGCCTATGCTGTTTCTGGCTGAGGCTGGACAGATGCCCCCTGCCGTCCCATGCACCTCACCTCCAGAGACTCAGGGCACATGCTGCCCTGGGCATTTCTGAGGGCGACTCCTTGAGCCTGCCTCCCTCCTTCAGCTCCACTGAGTGGGTGGCAGAAGCAGCTGGGAGGCCTCCCCGCATTGCTGAAAGGCCATATCCGCGTAGTAAAGGCTGGATGGACAGAGAGAGCTCTGGCAGGCAGTCGTGTGCAAAACTGTCCTTGAGCCTGCTCCCACTTCACTGCTTAACCCTCATGGTCGCACCAACAGCTTCATGGAAGCAATTCTGCACCGCATGTCACTGCTAAAGAATTCTGGACCTTCATACTGCTGAGGCAAGAATTGCTTTTTGGCTTTGTTTTAGACTATTTCCATCTTAGAATGAGGGACCATTCACCAAGGCACCGATGGGTCTGGGGTGCAGGCTCCTGGGACGAGCTGTTGTGTGCCACAGATGGGCTGGGAAAGGCAGTGTCCTGCGCAGCCCCGGCCACAGGCCTGGGTGATAGGGCGCCACTTCCTGCCCATGCTGCTCCTCCAGGGGAGATCCAGCAAAGTTCCCTAACACCTGGGGCTCCCCATGATGTGCAGGGGGCCAGCTGGCATGCAGAAGGCAAGACCCCAGGAGGACAGGCAGCTGCGAGAGGGTGGAGAGTGTTCCCAGACACATACTCAATCCCTGGACTATGCATGGAGGCACCTCCCCCCTGCGTCCCTCGAGCCCAGTCCTCCCAAGGCTCAATCCTCCCAGGGCACATTCTTCCCTGACCCCAGTCCCCCCGGACCTAAGCCTGACCCCAGTCGTTCTGGGCCCAGTACTCCCTGGATCCAAGTCTCCCTGGCTCGGTCCCTGCCAAGCCCAGTCCTCCTGGACCCTACATGGCCGAGCCTCTTAGGGCTTTCTGGGTCATCGTCCTCACTGACCCCAGGGCTGACCCTACCAGAAAGTGCCCACTGATCCCCGGACTGGCCCCTGTAGATGGCTGTCCTGCCCCATGGGTTTAGATCCAGGACGGGGCTGGGGACTCAGAGGCAGACACCTAAGACAGTGGGGAGTGGAAGGACAACACGGAGAAGCAGGAGAGGCCGAGAGGGAGGGAACCCATGGGGGGGAGTGGTCACAGGGCAGATGGTGGGGGCCCGTGAAGAGGCCCTGGGGGAGTGGTGGGCAGGGGCTGGTGCTGACAGGAGAAGGCCTAAGCCTGCTCTGGTTTGTAGGGAAGGTGGGTCTGACTTGGACATGGAGTGGCCCGGAGCAGGGCGGGGTCTCCTCAGAGCAGCACCAAGGATTATGAGGACTGTCTCCTGGCTGCCCCGCAGGCAGACGGGCACCACAGACGCAGCCACGGTGCTGCAGGGGCCATGGAGTGGCCACAGCCCCCCTGGGACGCAGTCCTGGCTCCATGTTGGCCACAGCCGTGTGGCCCCCGGGGACCCCCAGACTCCTGGCCAGGCTGCAGAGGCCGCCGTACCCTTCACTGAGCCCTTCTCAGTGGCACTGACCTCCTGGTGTCTCACACAGCGGGCCCGCCCTGAGGCCTGGCTGGCCCCACTCCAGAGTGAGGGAGCGTTCAGGAGAGAGTGCAGACCCCACTTCCTGCACAGCACCTGTGAGCAGAGCACAGCAGCCGGCCCACCTGGTCCAGTCCTGGGACATGTCCCCGGCTGGAGCCATCCAGGCGCTACTCGTCCTGGTGTGCAGGAAACAACATGGGTTCCCAGGAACTGTTAATACAGCTGTCGACCAGTCATCGTGGAAATTAAATTACAAGAACTTAAAATGATCACACAAAGAAATTGTAGGACATGAGTGCTGTAAATAATGCAATCATAAACATAGATACAGTCTGTTTAAAACAAAAGTAAGAGCTAGCTGAAACCCGGCTTGGCCACATCACCTTTCTCTGTTCTCTGGGGGTGGTGATGGGGGGTGTCAGGCATGGAAACTGCCAAACACCACAGATGGGGCGTGCCCTGGGAGGGACCTCGAAGCACACTGCACTCCGCAGGCTGCAGCAGGCTCTGCTCTGCTGGTCGCGGGGGGCAATGGAGGACGCTGGTCTTACCGCAAGGGCGAGGAGCTGGAGCTTCATGCCAGGTGCTGGGCGACTCTGTGGGGCTGAACCCCCTGAGCTTGGCACAGAGACCCCCACACCTGCACAGGAGAGTTCCCGGTCTGCAGCCCCCAGCAGGGCCCGCCATGGGGTGCTGGACTTCAGGCACTGTGCTTCGGACCCACTCACTCCCACCCCCGCCCGTCTCTTCTCTGCAGCTCACGTGTGGCCACTCCTCAGCACAGATTTGAGTCTGGGAACACAGCACAAGACCAACCCTGTCGGGGGATGGCAGGGAGCGCATGGCTGCCTGGGCGGCAGGGGTGTGGGGTCACGGTGTCCCGCTCTCTGTACTAGGAGCAGGCTGCTTTGTGTGGGGACCACAGCCATTGCCACTGATTTTATTGCCTACAGTTCTGTAGACAACAGAGTTATATAGACTATGGACTTCTGAGTATTGATGGGCAATGCTACTGTTGCTGAGTAACAGCAAAGGTAGCTGTCACTACTGTTGCAATAGCAGCTGCTGCAATAGCAGGGTCAGGCTGGCAGGTGTGATTGGTGAATCTCACTAACAGTGAGGCACTGTCCTCCCAGGGTAAACACTTAGAGGCTGTGTGGCACGCTAGCACAAATGTCCTTGAAAAGTCAATGAAGGCAACACAGTTCTATGCTCTGGTTTTGCCTTATGCATGAAATAAGATGCAAGTATCGCAGATGTGCCCGCCAGACTGCCACGCAGATCATTAGATGGGGTTTGGCAAAACCAACCAGAGCCTCAGAGACCACAGCTGGCTGCAGAATGTTGGGCCACTGTGCTCCCTGTGTCAGGGTCACTGTTCTCTGCCCCAACTCCTGGCCCTGGGCTTCTCTCCCTCTGACCTGGACACACAGCAGGTCATTGCAGGACAGTGAAATCGCCCAGGGACAGTCCCGCCTGCTCCTGCCACATCCTCATTTACAAGGGAATCACAGCTGTGAAAGTGGGGACCTGGACAGAGAGGGGAGGGAGAGCCCTACCCAGGGCTCTGGGGCAGGATGGCACCCACGGCCCTCTCTGCTACCCACCCCCAGACCCATGACCTGCCCCAAGTCCCAGGATGGGAGCAGGATTGGCATGGCTCAGGGGTGTGCGATCCATGTTTATAGTTTGTACAACAGCTTCCATCCAGGAGGGGTCGGCAGTGCTCGTCTCCCCTCCGCTCCTCTGGGGAAGCCTGAGGAGGACAGGGCAGGCTGATGGGCCTCAGGGGAGGCCCAGGTGGGCTGCCTATGCCCCCTTACTCCCACCTGCTCCCTCGTCCACCTCAGCTGGGGGTTGTGCCCGACCTCGGGAGTGACGCCTAAGGGCTGCTTGATTGTGGCCTGGAGCCTCCTGTCCCCACGGGGCACTCAGCAGTGCTGATGCGGGACTCTCACGGGGCACTAGATGACTGAGGTCTCCGTCTGCAGGAAGGAGAAGGCGCGGGAGCCCCGGGGGCACTGCAGGGCACCCTCGGAGCCATTCCGGGAGACAGACGAGCTGTGGAGCGTGTAGTCCCGGGCTGATGGCCGCCCCGGCCACAGGCTGTGCCACTTCCTCCTGAGCTCACTCTGCACCTGCAGGGACATGGGCATCAGCCCCAAGGACGCAAGCCCTGAAAACCCAGGGCAGGAAGGAGCACACACTCGGCCTTCTAGGGAAGGAGCGGGAGGAGCAGAACCTGCGGGACTCTCCCCGGCCCAGAACAAGGTTCTGAGGACAGGGCCAAGGCCTTGGGCTGTGCAGAGCTGCAGTGGCCACGGACAGCTGCAGGGCCAAGCAGGCTGGGCTCAAGGCAGAGCTGCCTCCCCCTGGGTTTCCTCACCCACCTGGGGACCACAGGCCATGGCTGGTTGGGATCAGGAAGCGAAGCACAGGGGCACCTCAGGGGGATGGACAGCAAGGGCTGTGCGGGCGGGGACGGTACAGGAGGGAGGCTGGGGCGAGCACGTACCTCGCTGTTGAGGAAGCAGTAAAGAACAGCCACCACCAGGCCCTGTGGGCAGAGAGAGATAGAGCCCCAGGTGGCGCCCAGGGTGGGCAGCACCCCAGGGCAGGTGGCACCCAGAGCCATGGCCCCAGGGCAGACTGAGCCCAGAGGCATGGCCCCAGGGCAGAGGCAGACCCAGGTCAGCAGCACCCCAGGGCAGACCCCAGGGTGGGCAGCACCCAGAGCCATGGCCCCAGGGCAGACGGTGCCCAGGGGTCATGGCCCCAGGGCAGAGGCTGACCCCCAGGTCAGCAGCACCCCAGGGCAGACCCCAGCGCCCAGAGCCATGGTCCCTCCCCCACACACCTGGAAGGAGCCGAGGCCAAGCTCAAAGAGAATCTGGTACTCAGAGGAGATGCCGACGGGAAATGCAAACACCATGTAGTGGACGCCAAACAGCGGGATGAGCAGCAGTGTGGACTTGGCCAGTCTCCTGCGCCAGAAACGGGCAGCTCAGTGGGACCCCCCCAACCCCGCCTGTGAGTCCCCCCAACAACATGGCCTGGGGCTTCCCTGCCCACAGTCCAGGAGTGTGGGGTGTGGATAGTGCCTCGAAGGACCTTCCAGGGTCCATACTCCATGCCTAAAGGCCCCAAATCAGGACAGAGACACTTCTCTGTTCTTAAAGAATGATTTCCCCAGTCAGAAAGCAGAACCTCTGCGAGTGATGGTCTTGCTGGAGATGAAGTCAGAGTCAGTCCCCAGCTGTCTGCGTTGCTCGTTGGGACCAGCGCCACAGCTGGACGTGGCCTGGGCATGTGCACTGTGCAGGTGGCAAACGCCTGTGGCCCCCTCAGGAGCCCCACGAGAAGTTCCAGTTGGGACTAGTTGCTGTGCTGAGGGCCACTTGACCTCGCACCAGCTGGGTCCAGCCTCCGCAGGTGGAGCCCATGGTGTCTCCGTGACCCCAGCACGTGGCTGTGCCAAGCCGACAGGTCTGCGATCACTGGAGCAAGCCCCTAAATCAGCTTCAGGGCCCCGGAAACTGCGTGCATGCAGGAGACAGCATCCACTGCTCCTTCCTGACGCTAGTGCCGCAGAGTGGCGAGCCCGCTTGCTGAGGCACAGGACAGAGCCTGGGGCCCACCAGTGCATCTGGCCAGAGCCTGCAGGAGGCTCAGTGCCCACTTGCAGGCAGCCAGAAGCTCCCTGAGCCTTGGTCAGCGAGAGGTCACTCGTGATCCACACAGCTGGCCAGGTCCTTGCACTGCCTGGGACACTGCCCACCGCATCAGGGCCAGAGAGGGCTCCTCTCAGCAGAGAGCTGGTCTCCATGAGGGTCGGCAGTGGGCTCCTGGGGAGGGGAGTCCATACTATCTCTTTTGGGGGGGGGTTTGAGACACACCTGGTATTGTTCAGAGGCTACTCCTGACTCTGCGCTCAGGAGTCAAACCAGCTGTGCTCAGAGGACCTGCCTCCCCGCTGCAAAGCCTGTTCTCAGCCCCTGAGCTGCAGGTGGGCAGAGCATGGGCACAGCCTAGCTCACCCTGGCAAGAAGCTCTGTCCTGGGTCTCTCACCAAGCAGCCCTGTGGCTGGAGCAGGTGGAGGTCTTTCCCTGTCTCAGATGAGCTGAGCTCAGGATAGGCTCTGGGGCTGCCACATGTCTGGGGGCATGAGAGGGCAAACCAGCCTGACTGGGAGGATGCCAAGCAGCTTTCGTGCTGACAGAATGTCAGGGACAAGCATCGTCCTCCGCTCTACAGGTGAGGAAACTGGGGTACAGAGCTGGGTCGGGTGCACGACCGCCCCTGCACATGTCACCAGAGGGGCTGCCAGCACCCCTCCCCCCCCGGTCCTGCTCGAAGCAACCAACCTGGGCACTAGCAGTCACCTCTAAACCCAGGACTCATGGTGGCTGAGCACTCACCATAAACCAGCTTCTCACTGGTCAGCACTAAGCCTGCTCTGACCAGTCCTGGAGGGGCTTCTCAGAGCCCCGAGTCTGCTCACATGGGAGATGGTGGATGGGGCTCTCCTGCCAGAGGAGGGAGAACTGCAGGGTTCTCAGGGCGATGAAGCCAGACCAGGAGGCACTGTCCAGGATGGGGAGGCCAGTACCCACACTCCTGCACCCACACACCTGCACACACACACCTGCACCTATGCACCAGTAACCACATACTGCACCCACACCTGTGCCCACACGCCTGCGCCCACACATCTACATCTATGCACCTGCAACCACACACCTGCACCCATACACCTGCACACACACACCTGCATGCACACACTTGCACCCATGCATCTGCATCCATGTACCAGCAACTACACACTTGCAACACACACCTGTGCCCACACACCTGCATGTACACACCTGCATCCATGTACCAGCAACCACGTACCTGTACCCACACACCTGTACCCACACACCAGCCCTCACACACCTGCACCCACATACCTGCGCTCCACACACCAGCACCCTCACATCTGAACACACACACCAGCAACAACACACCTGCACCCACACACCTGCATCCATGCATCATCAACCACAGACCTGCACCCTCACATCCCACACACCTGCATCATATACTGCACACGCCCACACACCTGCATGGATGCACCTATGCCCACACACTTGCACGCACACACCTGCACTCACACATCTGCTTCCATGCAACTGCATCTGTGCACTGTACCACACACCTGCACCCGGGGAGGTCAGGGCCCTTGCTGGTAATGTATACGCACTTGTACTGTGACTCATCGTTGTGTCCCACATCTGGGGACGTCAGCTTCTGCAGTAAAATTCTTACAATACTGATGAAAAGGCCAAAATTGACCTGCAAAAGAGAGACATCAGTGACCCTCTGCAGTGGAGATGGCTGTGGCGCGGGGGGGCACGACTACAGGCGCCCCTGGGTGCAGCCTGCCTCCCCAAGCCTTAGGCCACAGCACTTTGAGTCAATGATCAGCCCCCATCTGATCATTTTCCGGGAGGCCCCTCCCCACCAGAACTTGGGGTGCAGAATGCAGGTCTCCCAGACTCTTCTCCAAGGACCAACCAGCAGAGCACCCCACGGACAGCTCATTTCCAACAAAAGTTACTCACGATGATAGAAATCAGAATTGGGGTCCGGATGACCCACCAGGGGAGGCTGTGCTCATTGGTGTCCCAGCATCTGTGGAAGAAAGGACCAGATGTGCAGGGCACAGACACACACGTCCCCCTTCCCGCACGCAGAGGACACACGCGCGTGCGTGCACACACATACAGTCACACACATAACCACACACTCCATTCCAACCTGCAAGGCACACACATGCACACATACAGTTGCATTCATACACACTCTCACACCTTCCTGCACAGGATACACACAGTCACACACACACACACACACACACACACACACACACACCCTTTCCTGCCCACAGGGTATACACACAGTCAGTCACTACACGTACACCTTCTGCCCACAGGGTGCACACACACAGTCACACACACACACACACACACCCCTTCCTGCTCAACAGCTGCCATACAGCCATTGATTCCCTCCTGACCCTCCCCCCTGACCTCCCCCCGGCCCTCCCTCCTGACCCCCCGGCTGGTGTCCGCATCCTTCTGTCCTCCCGTGTCCCCAGTCCGTCCCTTCCGCATGGCTTGTTGTCCTGTGTCTTGGCAAGGGACTAGTTTTGTTTTTACAGCCTGAGTGTGTGAACTGAGCCTAGAAACCAAGTCGCCCAGGGCTGGGGGCCAGCGAGGGTCCTTTTCCGAGTCCCTCCCTGGGCTGACACGCCTGCCCCTCGAGGCAGGGCCCTCTCCTGCTCCTGCTCCCTTTCTCTCCTCAAGGCTCATCCTGTCTCAGGGTCTGTGAGCCACGCGCCTCCTCACGTGCCTTCAGGGACTCTGCCAGGAGCTGGGATCCCAGCACCCACAGGCCAGTGTGCCCCAGCCGCCTCCCCCCCCCCCCCCCCCCGCCCCTTGCAGCCACCCAGCCTCCTGGACAGCTCCGCAGTAGGATGGGGGTCTGCAGCTCCCGGGTCCTCCTCTGACGCCTCCTCACCCGGTGTCCTCCAGAAGGATCCTGGCCGCCGTCCACGCCGTGATGCAGACGGTGGGAATGCCTGCAGAGACTTGGGTCAACTGTGCCCTGAGAGCCCACAGGACGTGCATGGGCCCTTCCTCCTGGGGCCTTCCAGCTGGCCCTCGTCAGGCTGGGCCTCGGGGGCAGGTGCGGGGAGGACCCGCCCTCTCTCAGGTCCCTGCACACGTGGATGTGACTCTTTCCACTCAGGTCTTCCCGCCTGTTGCCGGACACCTTCTCCCCACCTCTCTGGCCTTCCCACGTGGGCCCTTGGGGCCGGAGAGGGGACCCTCTGTGGCAGGAAGGGTGCAGGGCTGGGGTTCAGAGATGTCTTCCCCCGCCCCCCCCGGTCTGTGGACGGTGCCTGCTTGGAGACTGAGTGTGGGTGGGAAGCAGTGGCCCTGAGCCGTGGCTCCAGGGTTAGGGGACTGGAAGCGCTCTCCCTGCCGTGGCTATGCGCACTTCCTAGGGCCCAGTCTGTACAGCTGAGAAGGGACCCTGTTGGACACAGGGGCCGGGGTGTGTGGGTGCTGCTGTGCCCTGGGGTGTGCTTACCCCATCCTATGAGGAGGTAGGCCAGGAAGCACCTGCTGGGGGCGAAGATGGCCACGAGCAGCGTGTGCAGGTACAGCCCCTCCACAAGCAGCCAGCAGAAGTTGGCCAGGATGCAGTACTGGAAGAACACCAGGCTGAGCTTGCACCCCACCTGCAACGTACACAGCGAGAGCCTGGCGCCGGGTGCAGACCCACCAGCTGCTGCCCAGAGGGTGCCGGATGGTGCCCGGAGCTGCCCCCAACTGGGCAGGACCGAGCCACTGCAGCAGGAGCCTGAGCTCCCAGAGAAGTGCTTGGCTACTGAGAGCTTGGGGAGGGCGTGGCCCACACGTGGGGCTCAGGTGCCTGACCCACGGGGTGGGGTGCAGACAGGCTCCAGGTGTTAGCACAGTCCTGGCTGCTCGAAGCGCCACTCAGGGGCCAGTTAGCCCAGCGGCAGGTGGACCTGAGCCACAAGGCAGCAGACGCCCAGACTCTCCGAGGCGGCTCATCCTAGTCTGTGCAGCCCTGAGTCAGAGGGTGGACCAGACAGACTCTGGCCTGAAGGAGGCCTTCGGGGCAGAGCATCCTGGGAACACTGCCAGCCAGATGTAGGAGAGGACTCGAGTGCGGGCCCGGGAACCCACGGCCAGGGAGAGGCAGAGGGCCAGTAGGCTCAGTGCAGGGAACCTCCTGAGGCGCTGGGCTGGCCGTGGGACACGGGGGCCCAGTGTGGGGGCCTTGGGCGCTGAGGCGCGGGGCCCCGGCCTGCAGATGGTTCCTGTCTGTCTGTCTCTCGGGGGGCCCCCATACCGCAGTGTGGGCCCTGGGCAGCCCCTCTCAGACTGAGGGGCCCGGGGAACAGACCACGGGTCCACGGAGGTCCACAGCTCCCGCCTCACCCAGGACGCCGGCTGGTCGGGACACTGCCCGGTGCCCGAGCGGGAGTAGAGCACGTCGTCCTTGAGCAGCACCGAGATGGCACGCAGGATGAAGGACAGGAAGAGGTTGAGGTGGATGGAGTTGCGGGTGCAGTGCAGCCTCCTGTGGGCAGGAAGACAGAGAGGCCAGGCTCGCACCCTGGGCGCTGCACCGCCTCGCTCTAGTCTCGAACCCCTGTCCCTTGAGCACATTTAGGAGATTACCACTTTTGCATGCTGGCATCTAAATGTCTGCCCGTGGCTGGTCCTAGAAAAGTCTTCAGGATTAAGGCATGAGAGTGAGGCCCTGCGCGGGTGAGGGTCTGGTAAGGTTCTGCGCTCCCCTGGCGGCCAATCAGTGGCCTGCGCCGGATCTTGACTTTGTGGCTATCTGGGCTCTCTAAGAAGTGCCCAGAACATCTTATTTATAACTCTTTAAAAGCACTTAAATTCTGCTTTTTAATTGCTCAGAGTCATGGGGGTCAAGTGCTCCCACACGGCTGCTCCTCTGAGATCATGGAACACTGTCTGCGGGGAGAAGAGAGTCTTTCAGAGTGCTGCCAGTGCGGCCCCCAGGGGCTCCGGTGAGGCCCACACAGGCAGCAACATCGAGACAGCAGGGCCCTGGGGGCCAGGGGTTCTCTGCTTGAAAGCAGCAGGAAGTGGAGGCTGGAGGGAGGGTCTGAGGAATCGCCCACTGGCCGCCTTAGTCACTCTGTGACCCTTGTGGCCCAGAAACTGTGACTAGAACGTCAGTGTCAGCAGCTAAAACAGATAAAATCCACAGGTACCTTCCAGGTAATGCATGAGGAGCATTTGTGGAGGAAAGTGACGCAGAGGAGTCCCCTCACCAGGGCAGCAATAGGCCAGTTTGTATATTTAAAATTTCCAACGTGTTTATAGCAGGAGTAGAAGTTTAGAAAGGAACCAGCAGTGACTAAGAAAGTTGAATGCTGGCAGAACTTTTATCAAGCTCATGCTCTGAGTGACAAAGACGCAAAGATGATGGGTCTGCAGGAGTCTCCACTCTCATTGAAGCCCCTGGTATGATGAGCTGGGGACAATGACAGCCTCTCTCCCCCTCAACCCCACCACTGGCTCAAGGCTCTGCCCTTCTGGCTAGAAAAAGCCGACTCCTCTTGGGAGCAGGACACTCTCCAGTCTCTGCCTTTCATCACCTGAAACGCCAATAAAACACAAACCGCGAGGTGGACCAGAAAAGTTCAACATTCACCCAACGTCTGGACAACGTTCAGGTGCTAGAGCAACAAAGACAACAGGAAGAGACCCAGAGAGCAGCATTTCCAGACCAGCCTCCTGGAGGACTTGCACAGTGGAAACAGGGCCACTTTCCTGAGCACTAAGCTGGGGCCCAGTGCCCCCAAAAGTCTGGGACGTAAAGTTATTATACTCAAGTAAGTTGATTGACGTGGTAGAGACTTTGATTACAGTACCAGATTGTCTTGAAATTTAAAGGATCTGGGTCTAGCATTAATTTAGACACAGAAAATGAGACATTTGTGACTGGAAAATACGCCAGTAGAACATGTCTATATTAGCACTGTAGCACTGTCCTCCCGTTGTTCATAGATTTGCTCGAGTAACGTCTCCATTGTGAGACTTGCTGTTACTGTTTTTGGCATATCGAATATGCCATGCGGAGCTTGTCAGGCTTTGCCGTGCAGGTGGAATACTCTTGGTGGCTTTCTGGCCTCTTCAAGAGGGGTGGAGGAATCAAACCCGAGTCGGCCGCGTGCAAGGCAAACACCCTACCCACTATATTATCGCTCCAGCCCGTGTCTATATTAAAGTAGGAAAAGATAAAACAATGGGAAATGATGTGGTCTAGCATAGATCCCATGAAGGGATGAGCTAGCGTGTTCTGGTAAGAAATGCAAATATTTAAAGTGCATGTTGAAAAAGTCTCAAGTGAAACAACCATATCCAAAATAATCTGTACAACTCACTGCCACTTGTCTCTCAGATCTGGCTAACAGTTGTAAAAAGCCATTGTATTTCTGCATAAAATAACCAGATAACCCAGGTACACCAGAAAGAACTAGGACAGGCCCCAGACAGAGCTGGACACACCTCTACCCCCTCTTCTTCTCTCTTCTTCTCTTCTCTTCTCTTCTCTTCTCTTCTCTTCTCTTCTCTTCTCTTCTCTTGTCTTCTCTTCTCTTTTCTCTTCTCTTCGTTCGGACAGCCGATGACAGATCAGTCGAACCAGGACTTGCTCTGCTCTTGTCAAAGCATTTCACTACTGGTGATTTCTCCTACCAACCAAACACAGGCCATGGGGTCTGGGTCCAAGCAGCCCTTCATTTTGGTACCCAATGTGGGGTTCAAGTACAATATTCTCTTTTGCTCCTTCCTTCTTATCTCCAGGTGGGAGAAATTCCACGGAGCCGGCCCTGGACTGGGAGACCATGGCAGGGTGATTTCTGGTTGAAACACAGATGGCTGGTTTGTAAATCTCTTCCTTCACTGGTCGGTGCTGGAGGCCCTCTCTACCCCCCTTCCTCCTTTCTTCCCTCTTCTTCCCACCTTTTTTGTTGTTGTTCACTTTTTTTTTCTTTCCCATACCTCTGGATGGGAAGAATTCCAACAAACTGTTATCAAATTGAGGGGTTTTGAGTGGGATGATTCTCCAGTAAACCCCAGTCTGTCAGTTTGTGTGTCTCTCTTCAGCCACTAGCTGGTGCCAGAGGACAGCAGGAGAGGACTCCCATTCTCTCCTCCAGTCAGTGTTTTACTCCCGCCCAGTGCAGCACTCCTTCTGGGGATGCCCAGGACAGTTAAACAAAGAGGAGCCAAACCTTGTTCCACTTCACTGACTCACTCCTAGGATGCATCCTGAATAACTGGACTAAATTTGACCCACGAAGTCTTATGTCTCATGTATTTGTCCACGGAGGCCTGGCCACATTAGCTTTATAAACTCTCTGATCAGGAATCCCAGCCATGCTATAATTCCGCCTTTCAATTAGATTTTTGATCCTAGCAGTGAAAATGAACGAACATCCCACAAGCCCAGCCTCATGGCTCCCTCCCCATCACTGTCTGTGTCTGCATCACTCTTCACCAAGCCCTCCTGTCGACCCCTGGGAGGTGCTCACTATCGCCCCGCCTGGAGGTGGCTGCTGATTCTCTGAATAGCTCCTCTCTCGCCTCTGCCCACCCTCCCTCTGGTGCTCCACGAAGAATGCGATAGCCTTGGTTAAACAGGGTGTCACAAAACTGACCAAACTTCCTTGCCAGTTGTGTTGTAAGATCTTTAATTATGATCATTATGAAGCCGTTTGTCCTTTTGTAATATTGTTTTAAGGCTGCTTCCAACCCCCTATTACACAGGCTTCCTATGTAAGACCAGTTCTCAGTTTCTATTCTTTGAGTACTTGTTTCTTTATAGCCCACATATGAGGGAGATAATTTTGTGTCCGTGTCTCCTTCTGACTAACTTCACGGAAATTTTAAAGGAACTTTCTCTGTCCCTTTAGGAGCTAGTGGTCTCCAGTTTCTAATAAAATTTTATTTTCCCCTTACGCTTTGTATAAACACTAGTTTACAAAGTTGTTTATGATGATTTGCTACAGATATACAATATACCAACACCAATCCCACCACCACTGCTCCTTCTTACCACCATTATCTCCAATTTTCCGAACCACCCTTTAAGTTTGCCCCCATAACAGACCCTCAATGATTTATTTTATATTGCTTGTTATACATAATTTGCTAAAAGGATGATAAAGAAAATGTCACCTTAGAAGAAAGTTAGCAACGATTGTTGTATCTCACCATGTAGCCGTTAAGTCCTTGTATAAGAGATCAATAAAAGGTTGTTATAGGTTTATATTTTGTTTATATTTTATTAATTGAGATTGGTTGCAATCTTGTGTGCTACTCCTGGTTTTTCAGTGTTGTAGAGTTTGAGATGTCACACGGCCACAAATGCAGATGCATGCTCCAGGGAGTCCAAACATTGTTAATGGGGTGATACAGCTGGCATTAAATTTCTAACTAGGTGGCAGTGTTGGGGCGAGTCCGTGACTACCAGGGCTTCTGGAAGCACAGGGAGATGTGGGGAGGTGGCTCATCCCCGTCTCCGTGAAAGCCTGGAGATTTCAGTTATAAAACACGCATTCCTGAGTTTTCCAACAGATCGATTTCTGGATGAGGCTCATCCTGAGCAGTGGGGGCTGGGCAGGAGCAAGGTGGCACTGTGGAGTGTGCTGGCCTCCACTTTTGGGCTCTGTGTGTGTATGTGTATGTGTGTGTGTTCTAAGTTGACTAGCGTTGACTGACAATTTGGACAATTCTCTCAAGACCATATAAGGTGGAAATGAAAAACTTGATGAAAGGCCCCTGACTAAGGGAATGGATTCAAAACTCCAGGATAAAAGGTCTGTCGTTTTACAGAGGCTATCCTGCTTCTCCCTTTTTTGGGCCATTGGGTAGAACCTTTCCTGCCTTTCATTTTGGGCCCCGTCTGCTTCCTCAAATAACAAAACTAATCTCTTCTCATTAGGACTAAATCAGGTTCCCGATGATAACGTCCTCTTATAAAAACAGGACTTCTTCCACCCTTCCCCCGTGAGCCACGTGGGGAGTCCCTCCCACCATAGACCCCGCACCCCTGGGAAGGCCTGAGCCAAGCCCACACTTCCTCACTTTGCCTCTTAGCAGGGAGCAGCTAAAGACAGTGGGCTTCTGCTCCTTTTCCCCAGGAAAAGTTCTCTTGGCTCGGTGTTTCTTTTTTTTGATAAATGAAGTGGTTTAGCATGGATCCCATGAAGGAATGGCCTACCTTGGCTCCTGTGAGAAATGCAGGTGTTTAAAATGCCAGGCATGCTGAAAAGCTCTCAGCTGAAACACTCAGATATACCCAAAATAATCTGCACATCTTGCTGTCACTCCAGAAATTGGCTAAGAGTCTGAAGAAAGCAGATGTACTTTTATTTATTTGCAGATGTACTTCTTTTTCTGTTTTTTTTTTCTTTTTCTTTTTGGGTCACACCTGGCGATGCACAGGGGTTACTCCTGGTTCTGTACTCAGGAATCACCCCATATGCTCAGGGGACCATATGGGATGCTGGGAATCGAACCCGGGTCGGCTGTATG